AGATTCAGGCTGGATATTAGGAAAAGGTTATTCACTGAAAAGGTTTTCAGGCACTGGCTCCCCAGGGAAGTGGTCACAGTGGCAAGAATGCTATGTTTGCACAGCAGTCAGAGACGTTTGGTTTGATTTTAGTGTGATCCTGAATGGAACCAGGAGTTGGAATTGATATTTCTTGTGGGCCTCTTCCAACTCAGTATATTCTCTAATTCTATGATCCCAGGCCTTTAGCCATGAGGCTCTCTAGAAAGACCAGTAGAGGTTAAATATATTTGCTTATCCAAAGCAATAGTATAAAGATGAGCCTTTGCAATATCCCAAGTTCATCCAGGTCTGTATAATGGTCAAAGCCCTTCAAAACTCATAAGAGCTCTGAACATTCTCACAAGCACTCATACCTTTCAGAAGTGTGGAATATGAAAAAGGTCAAGTGATCCCTGCTGATAGAGAACACTGGGCCTGCAAAAAATCTGCACACCACAGCACCAGACCAATGTCCTCAGTCTGCATTCGACCCCTCCAGCTGGAGGACTCATCTCCCAGTGGCACTGATGAGCTGTCCCATAAATCCTTGAGCCACCTGCCCCGTCTATGAAAAGGAACATTCAAGGTGGAGTAGAAACAACTGAAAGAGGAAAAGAAAAAGCATCAATCAGTGCTGACATTTTTCTCTCACTGCAACAGGAAATTTTGACACCAGAAAAGTCATGATCACTGTCAATTCTGCCAACACAAGACAGCCACATACTACCACATCTCCCACAATGCTTTTAGAGGTGATTGTTTCACACAAGGGTATGAGTGCCTGTGAGGAGCAGATCGGAGCCCTCAATGACCAAGAGGATTTTAAAAGGCCATGATGCCTTTCCTTTCTGCCTAGATGAGCCACTTGGAAGTCACTTGCCATGGAGGACATGCAGAAGCTTCCAGATACAGAAGCATGTCCCAGTGCCATTCTACCTCTCACTGTGGCTGGGAAGATCATCTCCTCTGTAGGATATTGGTTGAGTTCTCAATCTGCTGGATGTGCTCGAAGGCTGGGGAGAGCATTCTGTGCAGAGACCCAGCAAGGCAGGCCCTGGATGTGGGAGCCAGGGAAATTTTTCTTAGTTTCAAGAACAGTGTTTGAAACAAGCTCACTGCCTGTGTCTCACTGTCTGGCAATGGACATGGGTCTCCTCTGACCCTACATGATCTTCTCGAAGCAATAGATTTCTGGCAGCCTGGGAGAGTGTCCAGAGAGGAAAGTACCACACAGAGATCCAGACTAGGATGCAGAAGAACTTTAAGGATTTGAACAAGGGGAACAAGGACTTCTGAGAGGGTGCCGTGATATGGGGAACATCAGGGGTAGGTAGGAATCATTGATCAGAGGGGGCTTTGCATTGGGCATTTAACAGCCCACACCCTGGAGGGAGAAAGGAAGCTGGTCCTTCTAAGACTGGCTTAGCAGGAGCTCACAGTCCAGGAGAGCAGAAAAAAAGGGAGAAGAGAGAGAGAGAAGAGGGAATTAGGCATGGGCCTTGTTTTCAGAGAGCTCCTCTTTGAAGGAGGAGGTTGACCTCCCCTTGCCTTCCTTTACAGATGGAGTTGTGTATGCTCAACCCCTCTGGAAGCAATGGCTGGAATGCCTGTTCTCAGTTCATTAGCATATCCTGGATTCCTCTTCTGCAATTTTGTTCTCTTCCCTTGCCTTTTCTTCCATCAGCTGTTGAAGGACTGGGGGTTAGGATATGGTGTGAAAAACGGGAGGTATTATATTACATGGTAAAATCCCAGGCTGCACACATACAAAGAAATACAGAGAAACAATGGCAGGTGGGGAACCCAAATAATGCCCTCAGCCAGCTAATCCCAGACATCACAGGAGACTGGTCAACCCACCGAAGGCACATTTTCACACATAAAAAGCAGTCAAGGGAAACTGAAATAAGTAGTGGGTGGAATGGACACCCTTGTCCTCAGTGCAGTTTTATGTGGTTTGGATATGAGACCCATCAAGATGAGTTGGCTCAGATTGAGAGGGATTATATTTTAGCAGTACTGGGCACATTATAGGATGCCGAGTAAAAGCATTCTGGGATTTCTCAGGACTTACTATGAGGTATTTAGGGGAGGAAAAAAATGGAGAAAAATACAGACGTAAGGGGAAAAAAGGACTGGTCTCATGTAAATGGATGATCAAAAAACTTGCCTAACCATGTCCTATCTATGTCCTATCTTATTACATTTCATTCCCATTTGTTCCCAAATATGAGGAAATCTACACTCCATGTAAATACGTAAATAAGTACCAGCAACTGGTGTGTGACCTTGTGTGAGAGGTGTCTTATACCTTGTGAGCAGCACTTGGTGCTTTTAGGTGGATGCAAGGGCCAGCTCCAGGGTAGACTACATTTTTAGCTAAGTTTCTCCAGTGATTCACATTATACACGTGTTTCCTCCCACATTACCTTCTGATCAGCCTAAGGGAGGAACAGGATGATGATCTTAGTGCTATTCTATTTTTACAGGAATGCTAAGTATATCTGCCTGTGTTGATTTAATTGGTGTGCTACATATATATGTATATGTATGCTATATGTATAGTAAACACATGTGCTTCTAATATATGTGTGTAATTACTAGGAATATATCCCTAGCCTAGCTACTGGTTGCATCTAGGTGTGGTGGTGAATTAAGTTAAATCTATCTGATGACTTGTCAGAAGTGGTGTTCCCCAGGGGTTATGACTGGAGTCAGACTTGTTTAGTATCTTTATTTATAATGTCTGTGGGGATTCAGTGCACCCTTCTTTCTTTCCGTAGGTTGAATGTGGATGGAAATGTGTGAATACTGTTGGAGCAAATGCTATAGGACCCTGGATATGGATCAAACCATTGAAAACCTGTAGAAAAAATAAAGGGAACGTGAGAAGCTAAAAAAGTTGATTCAGCTCATCTGACTTCATCAATCCTTGATGATTCGCTCAGATTGAACAGTTTGTAGAAGGCAAATTACACTCTGAAAGTTATTGCTTCATCTAAATGCATCTCTCCAGTTGGGATAAAACCAGGTCTTGGCTAAAATGAGTGTGAGTAGAAACTGATTCCAAATAAAAGTAAAAAATCAATGGAATTTGCTACTCATCTGTTTACTCATTCTTCCCTTGTGTCTAACATTGCTGTTGATTCTATGCAGTTCACTTCACCACCATCTTTCTTTCTGCATCCACTTACTCTTTACTATTTCTGCATACATTTACTCCCTACCCTTGTAGACTGCAGCACATATTCCCAGATCTAACTGCCAGGAACATCTGGATGTCTGGGATAGTCAATGTCATCTCAAAATAAATGATGCACTCCCAGTCATGCAGGAAGCTGTGTTCAGCCAGGGATCTCCACTGAATAAAAGTGAAACCAGTGTTAAGGTCTGAGTGATTTTCTCAGTGGTAATGTGTATGATTAAAGGAATACAACACCCAGTCAAGGATATCATAGTCAGGAAAACTGTGCCATACTTGCCCTAAGGACAAGCTCACATTCCAACACAAATTGCTTTGCTAATTTCTCTGATAAAGAGAAAGTCAACATTTTACTTAAGCTCCTACATGTAGTGTCTCCAACCATTCTGTTAGCCTCTAAGAAGAAAAAGCAAGCCAGGAAAAGACATTGTCATCTTTTCTTAGTTGGGCACATATTTCTCCAAGGCCCTCTTCTCCATCTGCCATTGCATACTGCATGTTCAGCTTCTCTTCCTTTACCTGTTCCCTGCTCTCACAGCCTCAGCCTCCCTTCCTTCACCAGTGCCCTGTGACCAAGTTGTCCATGTTGGAGACAGCCCCTCTCACACTCCCCTGCTCCCAATATCACTGCAGATGGTTCTGCTCCCATTGCTGACTCCCACAGGTGTGTCTTCAGGCCCATGGTTGAGTGGTGGCTCCTGATCACTCCGTACTCCATGTTCCTTGCACCATCCCTCCCTTTGCTCCTACCCCACCTTGAATTCATCAATCCAATCTTCATCCAACTCTTCCTGTTTTTTTTTTTTTTTTTTTTTTCATTCCTTTCTGTAACTCTGTAATTCATGCAATCATTCCTTACATTTTGCTTCTTTCAAGCTCTTCTTCAACAATTTCACCTTTCTATCTGTGATATATGCACTAATCTCTTCACCATTAATACACACATCATTTAGTGCACGTGTTGCTGTCATCCTTTGAAATCTCTTACAATCTTTGTATGCTCCTCACCATTTCTCCAAGATTTGTCATCATAAACAATAGGCAGAGGTGGGTAAAAAGAAGTTTTTGTATACTAGACAATGGCTGTGAGCAGAGCCCAGGTGCAGCAGAAGCTGTTGGCAGAGATCAGTGAGGATGCCCAGCATTAACACCACCTGCTCACATCCCAACATTACTTTGTTTACTATCCATTTGTACCATCCATCCCTGGTCTGACCACCCCAGTTGACAGCACCAGTTGTCCAAGACACAAAACTGGTTGAAACTACATCAACAGAATGGCTGTTGGTTGCAGAAGACCTATTCTGGGAATAGAAAAGGGTCTATTTAAACATTCATCTGACACCCACCAAGAGCAAAGACATTCTCCCTGGACAGCTCTGGAGGCTACATACAGTGGAAAGAAACATCAAAAGCCCAAAGTGATATGCAGAAATCTTTAATGAATGTTTAAAGAATAAAATGAGGTCAATCTGAACAGAAGTTCTGCAGTGCAGGATTCACCTGATCCTGTGGTAGACTTCATGCAGGGCATGTGCCTGGCTTTCCAGCAGAGGATAGGCTGGCTCAGGGTAGTCCCAACACACAGAGAAGCACAGACAGGAGAAAAAAATGAAAATGGAAAGAGGTAGGTGGTGGAACAGAAGAAGAGACATGAGCCAGGCTTTTAGAAAGGCCAGTCTTCCTTCTTCCTGTCAGCATTTTCTAGAATAGTTGAGGATGGTCAGGTATTCCGAAAGCAGTGGCCTGAAGATTCCTCATTTATCTGGTAGTTTTTGGAAGAACTTCCCCAGAATCATGGTCAGCAGCTTTGTCAGGGGTAGCACCTTCTGCCACAGATGCGGCTTCCAAAACCAGAGAGGTCAAAGCCCCCTGAGGTGATGGGCACACCCTCAGAGCTGAGGATGCTGCCAACAGCAGCAGAGGTGGAGGATCCCACAACGGTGTTCTGCGGGAAGGAGCTGAGGATGGGTCCGGGCAGGGTCACCACCACAGGAGAGGGCTCAATGGCGATGGTGGAGTCCTGGCACTGCCTGACACAGGGCTCATTGCAGCTGCTGGCCAGAGGGGTCGGGCCGCAGGGCCGGCATGGCACACACTGGTTGTAGCAGGACATGTCTTGGGATTGGAAGTAAACCTAGGAGAGAATTATGAGGAAGCACAGTACATGACTATGTGAAGAGCAAGTGGATACCCTCTCACAAAGGAGCCCAGGCAGCTACTATGAATGGAGATGAAGACATCATGTCACATCCCTTTATCATGCCAGAGCCCTACAAAGAGTAGCCTGGCCCAGGGAGGCTCACAGAGTGCATAAATCACAAGCCATATAAGCAGTGTCCCACTCTCAGCAGACTTATCCTTCTCCCACAGCAAGAGGGTCCAATCCCCAGCATAGGGCAGAATAACTATTTGATAAGAAGGTCACTGAGGCAAAATCTCGCTTTGCAAGAGGACAGAGGGCTTTACACTTACCTGGTTCCCAAGGAGAAAGAGGCAAGAGAAGCGGATAGGAGAGCTGGGAATTGGGCTGCCTTTTATGCTGGTCCTTCATTTGCTGCAGGCCCAGAGGTACTCTTAGCAGAGGTAATAATTTTCTGACAAGCTCACCTTAAATGCAAGCCATCCTTGCTAATGATATGAGCTGTGCTTTAGTTTCCTGCAGTGTTGCCTTTTCATTTCCAGATTTATGCCATGCCCATCCTCTAATGAAGGCTTTTTTTGAGTGCTGAGATGAAAGGCCCAAGGATTTTTAGGGCAGGATTGCACTGATGAGACAGAAAACTCAGCTCAAGTGTTGGACCGGTCCTGAGCAGGTAAATGTCATCAGCTTGGTTCACTACAGTGGGGCTCTTTGAAGTGCCATCCTCAGGGTAATTTCCAGCAAGTATCATCTGAATACCCAAGTCTTCCTGTGCGTGAGAATGTGCCATGTCCTTTTTTTCCCCTGTCTCCTCATCTTGCTTTGATGGCCATTTTTTTTTTTGGCCTTCCCATAGGTGCAGGTTTCCTGCTGGTTTTTAACCCCACATCCCATGTAACACTCTGGAAAAAAGTTCTTGATTCTTTGACTTGTCTCCTCTCTATGCTATCTGTGAGTTCACAGAAAATGTCATAGAATCATAGCATAGTTTTGATTGGAAGGGATCTGAAAGATCTCTAGTTCCATCCACCTCTATAAGGAGGGATACTTTCCACTAAATCGGGTGGTTCAGAGTCCTGTCCAGCATGACTCTGAATACTGCCAGGGATGGGGCATACACAACTACTCTGGGCAATCTGTGTAATTGAAGAATGTATTCCTAATATCTAACCTGAATCTACTCTTTTTCACTTTAAAGACATTATACCTTCTCCTATCATTACACTCACTGATAAAGAGTTGTTTAGACAGAAAATGACTATACTGCACTTGTAGGAGAGAGGCTAGAATATATTTATTGATATAATGTAGATAATATATAGTTTTATATATATATAGATTTAACAAATCTTTATTGTAACTAAGGCTCAAGTTAATGAGATTCGAGATGGCTGGACACACATTTATTTACTACATAGAGGGTAGGGTTAAACACACACATACATCCACACACATACTCTGTGAACAGTGCTCTTGTCATACTGAATCTTACTGGTGCAGCAAAGAGTTGGCTCTGGAAACAGCTGTTCTGGAAGCTGACTATGTTAGCCATGATGGCTTCTAAGAAATTTTAGCTGAGTTTTTCTTTCTGTTGGAACAAACATTTATTGGAGAGGTATGGATTTGAAGGATGGAATGTTCTGAGGATTAAGAATTGATTGACTGGATGCAGCCAAAGTGTTGTGATTAATGGTTCTGTGTCAGGGTGGAGTTCTGTCACAAGCGGTGTCCCTCAGGGGTCAGTCTTGCGACTGGTGCTCTTCAACGGCCAGCAGGGAAGAGGGAGGTGATTGTCTCCCTCGTCTCAGCTGTTGTGAAGCCCCATCTGGAGTACTGTGTCCATACCTGGGGCCCCCAGCACAGGAAAGATGCATAGCTCTTGAAATGAATCCAGAGGAGGGCCACTAAGATGGTCAGAGGGCTGGAGCACCTCTCTTATGAGGAATGGTTGAGGGAACTGGTGGGATTATTTAGCTTAGAGAAGGGAAGGCTCTGGGGAAATCTCTTTGTGGCCTTCCAATATTTGAAGGGAGCATATAAAAAGGAGAGGGATGGCTGTTTATGAGGGTGGATAGTGATAGGACAAGGGGGAATGGTCTTAAACAGAGACAGGGGAGGTTTAGATTGGATATTAGAAGGAAGTTCTTCACATAGAGGGTGGTGAGGCACTGGAACAGGTTGCCCAAGGAGGCTGTTGATGCCCCATCCCTGGAGGCATTCAAGGCCAGGCTGGATGTGACTCTGGGCAGCCTGATCTGGTGGTTGGCAATCCCGCACATACCAGGGGGGTTGAAACTGGATGATCATTGTGGTCCTTTTCAACCCAGGCCATCCTATGATTCTATGATTCTATGATTCTATCATAGTGAAGATGTGTCAGAAAAAGGGACAGAACAAGGGAAAATCAGAAGGAAAAGAGATTGAAGAAAGGAGATTTCCTGTTCCTGAGAGGAATGGGGAGGTAGAAAAGTAGCTTCAAGAAAGGATCAAGCTGTTTTGAAGGCCACTGGGAGGAGGATTTTAGTTCTGTCCTCATGCTTGGAAAGTACCAGATGGGTGAGAGAAGGTTCAAAGATTTGAGAAAAGCAGGAAATCTAGTAGACAAAAAAATAGATTTGTTGGTTTGTGGGTACACTACTAAGTCATTCCAAAATGAGAGTCTAACTTTTTATTTTTCTAGCTGCTACATACTGATAATGACTGTCTAGGAGATTAATCTTTACCATTTCCTTCACATTTGTTACTTCCCAGGTGTCCTGAAGAACAAATGCCATTACTTAGGTTGCCAAAGACTGGGAGACCCATTGAAGGCTTAGTTGTCACTAAGGGTGCAGACAGAGGGTCTACATTATCATTCTCTGTTAACAGTCTCACATCTTCTGTGCTTCCATGTCTACTCTCACAATTGGGAAGTTGGATATACATAGTGTCTGCAAAGAAGTCAGGAGATGGTTTTTCCACACAGCCATCTGCAGGTTCCCAGAATTCCAGGGCATCTTCCATAAAGAAGTCCATAGTGTTGTTGACTGAGCAACCAAAATGAGTCACTGCCAGAGCAGGCAGAACCAGAGAGGGAGTGTCTGAGGTATGAGAACATTCCTTTTATCTTTCCCACTTTCTTTACCCTCTTTGCTAATTCATTTCGAGCAACTCTGCTCCTGAGGAAGGTGGATTTCTGATTCTCATATACCAACAGCTGAATTGGTCTCAGCCTTCACATCAGATCATTGTTGAGTCCATCCATCATGTTAGAAGGGAACTGTGCTATGGACTCAATCCCAATTCTGTATTTTACCACTGCTCAAAGCCCCCCAAAACAGCTTGTAGTGTTTGGACCTCACAAGCTGGAATCAAGACAGGTCCAGAGGCATGAGGGACACTATAAGAAAGTAACAATCCACATTCACTTCTCTGTCATCCCAGATAGTTCCTTTGTCCCTGAATGCACGCTTTGGGGCTCTTACTACCTTTTGTATAGCCTAGTGTTTTCACCAGCAAAGCTTATTGTGGGGAGATGTTTCCTCCATTAGTGGCACAGATTTACTCTCTATTATCTTAACACAGATCCCGTGAGCGTGAGTTCCACTGGAGGACAAATTCCCCATGGAACAAAGCTCTAGTGTCCCAGAAAAAGTGAGGAGATAGAGATTTTCTCACACTGGCAAATTCCCTAGTAACATTTCTGCAGGTCTCAGTCAAGTCTTGGTCTCTGAGAACAGAAAAAAGGTGCTGAGGGCCTAGAAAGTTGAGTAGAAATAGTGGCTCTGATCTGAACCATAGCAGGAGGACTGTGAGGAGAGCATTGCCTAGTGCATGGGATCTTGCATGCAAGAGCTCTTATTTCAAATTCAGCAGTGCCTTCAGGAGTTCCTTCTCTGCACAGGAAATGGTGGTTCCCTCAGGATGACAAACGTTTTAATCACTACCTTGAAAGAAAATTGTAGTATGATTGAAGAGAGTACTTAAATGTTGCTGATAATAATGAAGCTGCATGTCTTTCATACAAATTCAGGGAAGATGAAACTGAGAACACGGAGGTCATGAGGCTGCAGAAAGCAGTGAGTTGTTTTGGGGTACCATTTTGGCTATCATTCTCCCAGTGAACAACAACATGTAAACTGACCAAAAAGTGGGGATTTCCCGCAGGAATGTATAAGGAACAGGTGCTTTGTGCAACTTAGGATGTGCAGAGCTGTAATAGATCCTGAAATTGTGGTACTCTAGGGAATATGGGTTCAGTGCCTTGACTTCTTCATTACCCTGCTTCACCACTGTGCAATCTGAGGTCACCCGCAGTTCACAAGGCAGGTTTAGCAAGGTCGAGGTGTAGATCATGGGTGTCCAACCTTTTAACTTGCCTGGGCTACACTGAGTGAAGAGGAATTGTCTTGGGCCACATATAGAAGACATAATAGAGTTAATGTATATAATTAACACAATTTTTATTTTTACATAGTCTTTATTAAAACAAAAATGAAGGCAATAAAAGCATAAAACCAGTGGGAACTTGATCTTGTTCTTGTGAAACTGTTGCATAAATATCTGGTTCTATGGAGATGGTTGCAGTTCTTAGTGAGTTCTCAAGCTGCTCATCAGAGATTTTTTATCTAATTTTACTCTTCCTGTCCTCTATCCTTGACAATAGTTGTTCACAAATATATGCACTGCCAAAAAGTGATGACATTAAAAGGCGTGATTGTGAAGCAAGGAATATTTCTCTCTCTTAAGATAGGGCGTATAAAAGTCTAGTGAAGAGACATAATCTAATTTTTGAGTTGAATATCTGATTGTAACTCTGAACACTCCATTTGAAAATTTGCATATTTATGTCGTCTGAAGATGGAGTTGCAAATACATAAGAAAAAATGATTATTTTTTTGGCTGTCTTGAAACCTATTCACAAATTCCTTTACCAAAGTGGAAAGTTATGCAATTATTACTTGTAAATTGCCCCCATCTGTTTGGAATAGCAGAAACACTAATGAAGTACATATTGTAAAACTAATGAGAATACGCTACAAATATTGAAAGTTTAAGAATTTGTCAGCATTGCGTGAGTATTCTGGATATTTCTTTGGCAGTGAATATGTTAACTTATTCAATTATTTCATGAAATAACACAGCTCATGTTTAATAATAAAATGAGAAAACCTACACATCTGCTTAATAACAAAAACGTGTCTTCACAGGTGCTTGTAGGTATGTTGAAATATTATTATCACTGTATTTTACTCACTAAGTGGCACAAAAGCACATAACATATAATACACATGGATTTTGATTTGACTGAGTGCTTGTGGTGAGTGCAAAAGGAATTAATTCTGCACTGCACTTCTCCAGACTGCATTCTGTTGTTGCATGTGCAGTCCATGCTCAAGCTGTGCAATCAACTCATAAAAATGGTTTTTGTC